ACCGTTACTTTCCACGCTCTGCAGCCTTGCTTATAAGACCCGCGCCACATCTACTGCTTACTCCCACTAGCAGTCTGAGCTTTCGCCAACATTTCTGGTCTCAGATTCAGCGTCTGCTTATCAATTTTTTACTCGGCCTCTAGTCCTGAACCCTGACAACGCTGTGGATGGTATTTTCGGCGATAGCATGCTGTCGACCGTCAGTGCTGCTCCCGTGACAACTGCGACGGAGGATTTCATATTTTTAACGTTGAGTTACGGATTCGCATGAGCTATTACGCTTAAGTACGACTTCGCGCGTGCCTAGTCTTTCCTCGATATGGTGGAGCGCTCTCCAGCGATGTGGGTCAAGAGCTCTGTTTAATATCTTACTAAGTTCGGCTTGTATCTCACCTTTCCCGCTTGTTTGGAGACTTTCAACACGTCGCTATACTCTGATAGCTGCGAATTAATGCCAACGTCGCCGATTGCACTTCAGACATAGTCAGCGTTTATACCACTTTCGTGGACGTGATACCACCGCCACTGTTTTCGATGGAAGTTGGCTGACTGGTATATGCTGGGGAACGAGTAGATTCCGGGACTTACCGATTTCTGATTGGATGTTCTTTCTTAACTCCCCTTGCGTGACACTCGTGATTCTCGTCCGTTGCGATATCTTAATCTCTAGTTGGTACCATCTGTGTCCATTGAGGAAATGCTTTCCGCTCTTATGGAAGAAGCTGCACCCCTTTGTCGACCGCATTACACTGAAAGCTTTAGCCTAGATGAACCCCATTTTTGTCACTCCTTTTAAACTGTCCTCTTGCATCGTCCCACATGACGTTGCTCGGATTAGTTTTCATACCCAATGTTTACAATCCCTCACGCCCAGAATGCCTTTGACAAGTTTTTTTTACCTCTGTCTTCACCGACCTACTTCACCGCATTATCTCCGACAGATGGGCCCAAACTTCTGTGGACGGTCATCAGTATCTTCTTCTTCGCAACGATTGCTGTTTCCTAGCCCCGACTATTTTTCAAACCTTGCTTCGTCCTCATGTGAATCCTGCACATTTGTTCTTCGTTTCACCTAGTATCTGGCTCTGTTTCCCACAATTCTTTACTCCGAGTCGCTCCTTGCTTTGCCATTTCATCGTTTTTATCGAGTTTTTCCCTCTCCTATTTCCACTTTCGACGGGATTGGCATTCATCCACGGTGGAGGGACTCGCTTTCCCTATTGCTGTCCATCATGACTTTGAACGATGCCGTTCATAGGCCTGTATCATCTCAGTCGTCTAGCTCCGATGGCCCTATCGTCTACGTAGTTTATACTGACGATGTGGTCAACTTTGCTCGGAGCCAGGAGACCTTGGTGGATCGTCTCAGAATACTTCATAAAGACTCTGCTCATTGGCCTATCAATTAACTAACTACAATCGACCGTTTTCAGTACCTTCGTGAATTGTACGAGATAAACCATTTTACTGGACACATCTCCATTCCCGTATTCACCGATCACCACATTATCGCTTCAACCGGACGAGTAGTTCAATTATCTCGGCCTAATGTTCAACGGAAAAGTCAAATTACCATCTGCATCCTTAGGACAAATAAGCTCCAGGACTTAAGAGACCACGCGAACTCCCTGAAGCAATATCAGCGATTAGAAGTTCTTTGCAGCTTCTTACTACCTCGTCACATTCACAACCTCTTTAGCTGTAGTGGACCGCTACATTTTAGAATTTGGATAAGTTTGTTGGCTCTCATGTGCTCAGATGGTTGTGGCTACCCGAGGATGCACTGATTAACTACTTTCATGATGTTTTCGGGCGGGTGACACCCAATTTCCATCTGCTTTGACTACGGTCCCAGTGATCGCAGTGACCAAGGTTCACTTCAATGTGAATCACGGTCCTCATTGAGACTGCGCTTCGCAATCCAGTCACACAACGTGTAGTCCAAAATTGACCCTCCAACTACTATTACGCTGTTACCGATGATTTTGCCCTCAGTTTACCATCTCTGTCCACCATGGTTCCCATTTTTCGAAATCATCGGCTGGATTGCCATTTGTCGAATTCCTATCCTGTAAGCGGTTGGGCGATCCACTACGCATCGGCATCCTTTATCCATCGCATTTTCACAGCTCCTGTCTTTGTGCGCGGACAGTCCCCATCCTCGACAATGCTTGGAGAACCGTGTTTCTCAGTTAACTCTTGGAATTCCAGTACATAGCGTCTATGTAGTTGGCCATTCAACTCGCACTATTGACGTGCGGTTTGTCTATAAGAATAACGTACGTTACCAGTTCAAATGAAGAAAATAATAATATTGGACGCGTATATTGTACCATATATACATATATATATATGTATATATATATATATATATATATATATATATATAATCAGCCGTCTATAAGATAGACATGAAGCCAACGAAAACCATGAAACTGAAATAATACAGAGACCACAACAAAAAGAATAATAGTTACAAAAATCTTTTTGCTTTGTCTTTTTAATTTTTTTACAAGCCGTTTTCTTTTTTTGCCTGTTTAATGTTTACGATGTAAATCAAGAAACTCAAGACAAACATTTGTACACATTTTCCATTGGGCCCGGTTTTGTGGCATTGCGGAAGAGTTTCCAGCCAGCCGTGTTCTTCATCTTTGATCTCCCAGCCCGAAAGATGCACGGGACCTATGACATCTAAACTGAAAGTCAGCGCTTTAATCATTTGTCGCCACGTAATAGGCTGACTACCGCGCGATTTCTCCCAGCCTGATCCTGTGCGAGCAAAGAGAGCGCGTCGGCGCAGCCGTTCGCATAGCATGCATAAAACGTGCCCTAGGCATCTCAATTGGCGCAGCGGTACTAGTCTGTCAAGTGGAAGTCCCGTGTTACCCAAGCCGCGACGTCTAACATCATCGTTGCGCACGTGGTTCCTCCACCACACTCGAGCTATTCTCCACAACCATACATTGTCAAAGACCGAAATCCAACGCTTCTCAGGTAAACAAAGTTGTCCACTTGTTCAAACTGCGTACCTTGAATATATATATATATATATATATATATATATATATATATATATATATATATATATATATATATATATATATATATATATATATAGATGGATACACGGATGCGCAGCTCACTCATTATCTGCAAATCGGTGGAAAGTACACTATGTAGGCAGCAAAAGCGGGAGGCGGTTTCAAATACGTCGTTACAAATCTGGATCTGGGGACTGTTCACGGACTCCATTTTTGATGAAGGTAAAAAAAGACAAACAGGCTTGCATGTGTTGATGATGAGCCCGGATCTGGTTGCTGTTGAAGCGAGAGCACTAGTCATGTGTTGCAACTCATCGGCGCTGTGTGTAAACAATGCACGGTCGTCAGCAAACAGCAGCACACGGACAGTTGTCTCACACACTAAGGTTCTCGCACCGAAACGACGGAGATTCAGCAAGCAACCATCAATACGGTGCTCCACCCGGACACCGTAATCCCAATACACTAATGCATGAACGTAGATATTAAACAGGGTAGGGTTTAAGACACAGCCATGCTTCCCAACAGAAACAACAGCAAAGTCATCCGAGGTTTGCCCCCAGAATTGCGCCCAACCATTTATGGTTGGCGGCATCTTGTTCCGGATTTGCCTGTCACTGCGACCTCCATGGGGACAGCCAAACAAAGACCAACAGTCTCTTGGAGCCAGTAAAACTGAGGCGGAAGTTTTTCAATAGGTAGGTACTTCGTCAACATTCGCATCAACCGCAGCCACACTGGGGTTAGTAAACAGCAGACTTAATATCAAAGGAGACAAGCACGCAAAATGCACAGTAAATGTGCGGCAGCACAACAGAACACCGCGAAAACAAAAAGTGTGCAATTAATTTGATCCCGTGTAACGTTGATTACGGGGAAATATGGGCGGCATAGTAGAATAGGATTAGCTAGCGATGAGTAAGCCTTGTTGCTCGGTTTGGCACGAACGAAATGCAGTCTAGTTACAGATGAGAGGAAGCAGAATGGCCAGAAGAGCAGCGAGTGAACTTCGCGCGTGTGTTGATGAGATCAGACTGATGTCAACGGACGCAATGGTGTTTTGGTAACTGAAGGGATGAAGCACACACGTGAAGAATGAATAAGATGGGAACCAAGTACGGCGTAAGCTAGCTGACCGTGATCGCATCAAGTAGACGGAAAGCTGAGAACTGGCACCATCTGGCATATACCAATTTCAACGTGGGCCTAGACAGAGCAAGAGGGGGTTGGATCCAAGGCAGCGGATGAACACCAGGTGTGACAATGAAGTGTAAAAGACGAGAAGCCTCCGCAATAGAAAACCGCCTCAAGCTTTGTAGAGTATACATGATTACGCGCCTAGTGAGCAGCAGATTTGTGATCGTTACCCAGGCTGTGTTTCGATTCTCGGGAGGCTACACGATAAGCGTCAACAGTGAGACTATTTCGGAGCAAAGGTTTTTTATAAGACAACAACGATAAGATGTGATAAAAATGTTAATCTTGTCCAAGTAGCGTCAACATCAAACGATGTTCATCGTCCGCAGCTATCTTAGCGTAAATATTAATGTCCACAATTATGGATGTCATCCAATCAGTCGATAAACCTGGTGAATGTATCTAATTCGTCTGGTGGACGCATAGGTTAGAAAATCCCACTAAATCCTTGTAGGTTAACTGCTTGGGGTCTACCGCAGCCCGTTAAATCCACTATTCACATAGCCGAAAGTCTTTAGGATAATTGACATCGGAACTCGAAGCAATTATCGCTATCAGAGAAGTGGACAGATTACTTGGACCTTCTAGTAGTTGAACACTTAGCAGAAAACACAGTGACCTAAACATGATGAATGCCAAAGCGTTTGGACGGAATGAATATGCAAATCATACATGTAGGCTAATTTGTGTGAGCATTGATTGACACGATAGATATGGGCCTACGAATATACAGAAGATGACAGGTTGGATTGGTGCGCTTACCAGATGACTTCTGACCCAAGATATTTGAGCACCCGGATGAACTTGAAGACGCGGCGTACTCCATCCCCCTGACATGAATAGAGATGACCATGCGGAAGATGATGGAACAGACTGCATGAGAATAAGTTTAAATTCCGAGTATGATGATGAGAGGCCGAGTCGACATCCGCAACCCAAGGTGAGGTAAAACTTAGTGGGTAGCCTGTGTCGCCAAAATGCGATCCAATGTCCGTAGTATAGGCAATGACAGCGAGTGCATGAGACAGAAAAACAATGATCAGGCAGAGACAAACTGGGGCCCAGTTTATCTCGCTGTGCATATGAGAGTTCAAGTCAGAAAGAAAGGCAGCAAGAGTACATTGGTACGTAGTAGCAACGCTTGGTTTCCGCGCAACAACCATCAGTCGCGCGTGGGCTAAGGACATTGCGAGAGTTGCCGGGTCTCTAATCAGCCTCGAACTCACGCGTTCGGAGTAGAAGGCACGTTGGTGATCATTAAGGTTATGTAAACTCAAATTCACAGATTTATCTCTTCTCCTGTACTTGCCATCTTCCCCCTGTTTACAGAATACTGTGGCTGGCCTGCCGAACAACCTCCCAGTGGTCCGGGATTATCTCGGTCCAGCGAATGGTTCGGCTGCAGTGTTCCAGGACGTGGAGGGTTTTCGCCTGGCAAGCGTTCTCCCTATAAAAAGCCACATGTGTCCGTTTAACAACACTGCGACGTGGCGGATTTGACTCGCCACTGAAGCATTGTATCCCAGCATCTTGCTGCCGAAATCGTGGGGAAGGTTGGGACCCTGTTCGGCTACTCACCAAACGAGAGGCGTATGAACTGAGCAATCAGTCATCGGCTCCCGATGGGTGCGAATCCCTGACTTCGATCCGCTGTCTTGTGGGTAGGCTATTGAGCCAAAGGCTCGGGGTAGAGTCCAATAAAACAACCCCCTACCTCGGTTTAGGCAACGGGATAGTATCGTGCCATCTGTGAAAACCATGGATTTCGTAATTAGTACTACCTTGCTTACTTCTGTAGCTAATTTCCCTGCTACTCGTGCTATTCCATCACACATCAACTTTTCTCTTGTTGATAACCCACAGCCTGTTGAATCTACTTCCAATGCTCGTCTCACTGATATCCAAATTATCCGGCCATCATCTATGCTTCAACCCCGTACTACATTCCGCCTGGCAGCGTTCAATGTTCGGACCCTCCTACAGGTTGGACAACAGGCTGGCCTGGCGCGAACTCTAGAGTCCCTCGCCATCGATGTTTGTTGCGTTTCAGAGACCCGATTGCAGGATCCCAGCACCGTGGTTAAGTTATCGTCCCCAGCTGCTCTTTAAAACACATACTACCTAGGTCTGTCTAGTGACATGGAGGCATCAGCGGACTTAATTGGTGTCGGTATCGCATTGAGTGACAAAGCGGAGGCTGCATTACTTGTCTGGTTTCCAATAGACAGCCGGTTGTGTGCGGTTCGGTTTCAAGGCTCATGTAGAATCAACAGACAACGTGAAGACAGGCGCAATTTGTTTATCGTTTCTGCTTACGCTACACACGACTGCAGTTGTGCATGACTTTTATCATGGACTCCACAATCATTTGAAAAAGGCCGAAAAGTCAGATGTCATCTTCCTTGCCGGAGATCTCAATGCACGAGTAGGTCGCCTGCTTCAGTGCGAATGTCATCTTGGTGACAGTCATGCGCTTGATGAGAGTCGTTCAGACAACGGTGATAGACTTCTTAAGTCATGCGAAGACCACCGACTCTTTCTCACAAGTACGAACTTTAGATATACCAAAAGACGTGCAGCCACCTGGTGTCCTCTTACACTAACGCAAGCATGGTAACAAACAGATCACATTGCAATCAGCTTTAGATGGTGAGTCAGTGTCCGGAGTTGTAAATCGATCTGGTCTACGTACCTCGATTCAGATCACGCTTTGGTCTGCGCGGACATAATCATGCGCTTCGGCGGCTCCTCAAAACGAAAGCTCCATAGGGTTGACACCAACAGGTTAGCTGACCTCTCTGCTCGGGCAATTTATCAAGCTTCCTTATCGCATGCCTTTATTAGTGCTCCACCTCGAGACAACGAAAATAATTGGTTTTCTGCGTGAACCGATGCTAACTTCCAGTCATTCAATATGCGGAATCACAAAGCGCCCTCTGAGTAGCTGGATTTCCGCCTACTCACTGGAATTGTTTGATCGCCCTAGAGCTATCCCGATCGATTCAAATAGCAGTGCATTGCGTCGTATTCTCAGCCAACAAATTCAGCAAAGTCCGCGTGATGATTACGAAACGTGGCGGTCCCAGCGCGCCTTAGAGATGGAAACGACAGCCCTATCTGGAAACTTTCGCGAGCTCTTCCAGGTCATTCGGGCCACTAGTCACAAAAGACTTGGTGTCAGTGAGGGCATTTGCGAGGTTGCTGGAACGCCGATAAACAACATAGACAGGCGCATGGATCGCTGGGCTGAACACTTCCGCCTCAATTCAGCTGGCCTCCTCCGCCGGCGAGCCTAATGAGTAAACCTACTTGCGCGCCTTGGAACGTCTAATTGGAACCACCCACTGAAACTAAAGTCTGCCTTGAGCTCCGACACTTGAAGCGATTCAAGTCTACTATCCCCGACGGACTTCCTCCCGAGCTGTTCAAGTTCGGGGGCGAAGTAAATGTCATCCAGCTAACAGCTCTGTTCTCTAAGATCTGGCGCGAAGAGACAGTTCCATCCGCTTGCGGAGAGTCAATTATCGTCCCGATCTTCAAGAAAGTTGCCCGCACCCTATGCGCTAACCACCAAGGAATCAGTCTAATGTCCGTTGCCTCCAAGCCGTTAATATCCATTCTACTCCGCAGACTAACACCGATTCGAGAACTGCGCTCCCGTGAAGAACAGGCTGTTTCCCGCCCCGGTCAAGGGTGGATAGACCACTTGTTTACGCTCAGCCAACTCCTTGAAACGCGTCATCTTTATCGTCAGCCCACTATCGCTATTTTTCTGGACATCCGAGCCGCTTTAGACTCCGTCGATCAGCCAGCTTTATGTTTTGCTTCCAAAGGAATGGAGTACCCGAAAAGTATATCGCCATCCTTCGAGCATTGTGTTGCAATGTCTCACGTCAAGTGAGGGCTTATGGTAATATCTCTTACCTGTTGCTGTCACTAGCGGTGTATGACAGGGTTGCAGCATGTCCCCGTGTCTCCTCAATTTTGCGATCGAGGATGTACTTTTGAACACACTTAAGGGCTTTAAGGTTCTGGTGTAGAGCTTTTCGCTGACAACCGCGTGATCGATTTAGATTATGCTGATGATATTGCCTTGCTTGGTGATGACGCACAGAGCACACAGGTCGTTCTAAACGGCTTGGCGACTGAAGCATCAAAATATGGAATGACATTTTCCCCTACGTAATGTAAAGTTCTGGTCTGGGACTGGCATCCACCTGCCCCGATGCTCACTATTCAAGGTACGCAGCTTGAACAAGTGGACAACTTTGTTTACCTGAGAAGCGTTGGATTTCGGACTTTGACAATGGATGGCTGTGGAGAATAGCTCGAGTGTGGTGGAGGAACCACGTGCGCAACGATGATGTTAGACGTCGCGGCTTGGGTAACACGGGACTTCCACTTGACAGACTAGTACCGCTGCGCCAATTGAGATGCCTAGGGCACGTTTTATGCATGCCATGCGAACGGCTGCGCCGACGCGCTCTCTTTGCTCGCACAGGATCAGGCTGGGGGAAATCGCGCGGTAGTCAGCCTATTACGTGGCGACAAATGATTAAAGCGCTGACTTTCAGTTTAGATGTCATAGGTCCCGTGCATCTTTCGGGCTGGGAGATCAAAGATGAAGAACACGGCTGGCTGGAAACTCTTCCGCAATGCCACAAAACCGGGCCCAATGGAAAATGTGTACAAATGTTTGTCTTGAGTTTTTTAATTTACATCGTAAACATTAAACAGGCAAAAAAAGAAAACGACTTGTAGAAAAAATTAAAAAGACAAGGCAAAAACATTTTTATAACTATTATTCTTTTTGTTGTGGTCTCTGTATTATTTCCGTTTCATGGTTTTCGTTGGCTTCATGTCTATCTTATAGACGACTGATTATATATATATATATATATATATATATATATATATATATATACATAGTACAATATACTTGTCTAATATTATTATTTTCTTCATTTGAACTGGTAACGTACGTTATTCTTATGGACAAACCGCACGTCAATAGTGCGAGTTGAATGGCCAACTACATCGACGCTATTTACTGGAATTCCAAGAGTTAACTGAAAATTGGCATACCTTTTTTTACCAAAGCTTCTAAGTATGTCTCGATACTAACATATAGATATACCAATTATGCACCACATTTCCTTTTTCGGTTAAGTTCGGTCATTTTTCCCCATAAAAGGTATCATGGATGGTGTATACGAATACAATTAACAGAAAATGAGCATTTGAAAATGTCACAAGAATCGGTTGTGCTTAAGAAGGAACTACTGGGATGAATACCTTAAAAAAGTTATAATTTCTGAAGGAATCTAAGGATGCATCCGTACCATCATAATTCTGACACCGGTGCCTCGTAGTTCTTAACGTCCGTACCTAGACTTCTTTATTAAACATAATGTGAAAGCATTAAACCTATGTAACACACTGGACCTCACTCTGTGTAGTATCAGCTTCTCACAAAGTTGATAAATATTCCGTCTATTTGTTTTATATTTTACATTTCACTCTTTTCTGTAACTAGATTAAGGCCACGCCTCACTATACCAGTAGTGCCAGCTAAGACGCTGAAAATGTTTCTATTCCGGTGCATAAAGCCTATTGTTACTTGCGTTAACTTGGCTGTCCGGCAGCAACGAGAACCGGCGCCGCATCGACCCGTGACAGTAAGCTGCACTATAAAGTACTAGTCGAAGCGTGGGATCAATAAAATTGGAGACAGCCTTTAAGCTAAAGTGTTTGCACGGGTGATGACGATCGAGCAGTGGGTGGAAGATAAAATGTGACCAGACAAGCATACGACGACGAGGAAAAAGGT